AAATCCAAAAGAATTTTGGAAATCTGAGTCCAGATTCGTGAGCAGCGATCCTCGGGACCCTTTGAACTACAAACTCTTTTTTCTAGAATTGCTCAAAAAGGGTTAAAGTATTTCAAATGAACCGACATTATTGCTTTATTTGATTTTCTGTATGCAGTAAAAACTTAAATCTACTCTATCTTGGTGGAAAAAAATCCTATTTGGACGTTCAAAAATGGAAATTGAAAGGCAAGACTCGTACTTTACGGTACTTTGTTTAGTTTTTGTCGGTAAAATTCTATGCAACCAGGAGGAAACTTCAATAATGCCCTAAAATAGCCATTTTTTCACTTTTAGGTTAGAATATCTCAAAATCCTGACGTGATGGCGCCATTCTGAGGCCAGAGATTTGGATTCAGCGCACCAAATTCCTTCGGAAATCAATATAAAGTTTCATGTGATATTAAATATCCTTTAATTTGTTGACCTGTGTTATCCGCGTCGTGATTTACGGCGGCGTCGGCGGAAAGAAAACGTTCTCGGACAGTCAGTGTCGAAATTAATCAGGGAGTCATATGCAACTCTGATGCAATGTTAGGCATTAGTTGATTAACATTTCCTTCCGTCATCAATTAATGGAATTAATTACATGCGGGGAAATACATACCAGATTCAAATAAATATCATTTGTTTCGAGAGAGTATATCGGAATATATAACAGAAATTTATATTTCCACAAATATATCTATCACAAGTTTAGTAAGGATCAAATTTGTTTAAAATATGTTCTGAGCACTATAAGGTTTAACATATCAATCAAGGGTATTAAATTAAAACAAAATTTCAGTTTGCTACACAGAGTCAGATTAATTTTTTCTTCGACGAAGTCGTATAATATTTCTGTCGAGAGAATACATTTTTCTCTTAAATACATATAACAATGAGCTTTTTTAAAATTTTTGATAAGTAAATTTTTAAACTATTATCGGAAAAATATTCTTTATTGAAGATAGCCGTTGTCGAAAAGAAGAAAAGTAAACAATCGCTTTTCTTAACAACAGTGCGATCTTTTTCCGCGTATATTAATCAAACTCTGATATGATTGAGAGTACGATGATTAATAATTAATTTCAATCGATAATGAATATCAATCGATGAATAATTCGTGAATGAATTTATTCATTGAATTTATTTGTGATATTACGCGTGATGAGAGAAATTTTTGATCGATTGATGTTCAACACTGCCTCGATTGCGTTTAGATTGATAGCCGCTCTTCTCGCTTTCTCTCTCTTTTCTTCTCCCTTTTCTCTATACTCCTTCTCTCTCTGTACTCCTCTATCGTATTGTAATATCCTTCATGTCCTTATAATATCGTACGATATTATCCGCGTGAGTATTCATGCGATAAACGCGCGGGGCATCCGCGATTGAAAGTCGCGGAAAGGAATTCGTGATGGTAGCTGATGTCTCGATCCGTGATGCCGGATATAAACGCGGGGCCCACGAAGCCCCACAGATCAAAATCGATAGCGCGGCCGGGGACATATGTAATTTCGCTGCGGATATTCGGCTAAAGGCGATACCGATCTGGCAGAGAGCGCAAACTTTCGTTACGCGGTGGCAATCGCTCGGGAAATCCCGGCCGCTGATTAGACCCGTTCCGCCGCGTCGGCGGCCAAATGAAACGAAGATCGGCAGACAGTTCGTCGGGCTACTGCTGCTCCACAGGCACATCCTTAATTCTGATTAAACGTAATTTTCACGAAGCTGGCAAGCACACAAGGCAATTTCAGCACGCGCGCGCATGCTCCTTCTCCCATTTCCGCGGCAGAAATTTTTCGGATTCGCAGGATAAGAATCGAGTGGATATCGCGAATCGAAATGTCCTCGCCGTCTTTATTGTTTTTGTTATAAAAAAAGAAAAGAAAGGCAAGTCGAGTTCGACAACATTCGCGGCCACGACAGACGCCGCGATTGCATTGTTGCAATTTTAATAAAGCCCATCTCGAAGCGCGACTGTTGCGCGGAATATCGACGCGTCCCGAATCGGTCGACCTTTATGACGTGGCGTATTTTCGTGTATTTGCGCTACTTAACCGCACTGCGGATCATTCGAAAAGTTATGTTGCACGGTCGCGTGAATTCGAGAACCTTATGTTCGCGTAAAACACGACACTCGCGTACTACTCTCGTCTGAGTGCACCTAAAAGATGCATTTAACACGTCACCGGGTTTACGCGCGTGTTCGCACCCGTGGCCGTGTCCGGCGCGCCAAACGATCCCGATCGCCGCACGTTGCAATATTGTATCGGCAATCGAACAAATTGCTTCCTTCCGTGCAGCTGGTTTTCGAATTACGAAGCCCATAAATATGGCCGTACCTACGGGGAATTTGTTGGCAGGAGTACCGGCTAGCTGCGACCGCGACCATAAGTTATCAGTATCGCGCGAGCAGAATTCAATCGCCGCACGATATAAAATGCCACATGAGGCGACTGGCGCGCCGTTCAACATTTTACCTGTGTATATGGCTCCTCTCTCTCTCTCTCTCTCTCTCTCTCTCTCTCTCTTTCTATATATATATATATATATATATATATATTCATCTCGGAAATGAAGTCACGGATATAATAGCTTCTTGTATTATTTCTCGGTAACGAGCGTACGTGTTCTGAAACCGGGACTGATATCGAAAATCGCTTCCCGTCGGTCGCAAACCCGGATTAGGATTTTGGGCGAACTCGAACGATTCCACGATGCCACGATATTAAGTAAATGCAGTGTAAAGTAATTTCACCAAAGCACAAAAAGAAATATCACGCATTATATTGGAAATCCTATTAGGATGTGAAAATTGCGGCGCTATTACGCATGCAATTTCAGAATGCTCACGCACGTAATCGTTATTGCAAGTCGTTAAGCTTGATAAAGATAATAACTAAAGAGGAGCGCTCCATATACGGCGGGGAATAAAGCGGCTGGACTCTTGAATTATGTGTACGGTAGCGGCAAAAGGCGACAACACGTGCGATACGCCGCGCCGTCACGGCACATTGACACGTACGGCATTTACGTTCGCGCGCATCGCGACAACGCGATACAACGGCCTTACGTCATTACACGCTAATTACGCGCCGCAAAGGTCTGTAATTTGCGGAGAAAGACAGTCACTTTATGCCGCGTATCGCTTAATCTCGCGCGACGCTTTCGATTCACATACGATAACTACCTGCGATTATCCTATTCTGAACGTTCGCCACTGTCTCCGCTGCCGCTCTCCGCCGCCAATATTAGCCGAGATTAGATCAGATTATCGTCAGACCGCGAATCAGTTCGCCTACATCGAAGTAACCGTGTTTTCGGAAACTGCAAATATTTACCAAGTTACAGTCGATTCAAACGAGTACTTTGAATACAAGCGGCGAGAATGATAACGTATTGATTATAGGGCGACATGTTGACGTGTTGATTACAAAGTAATTATGGGATTATATAGGGTTGATTGAATACTATCCAGTGAATGAGCAGTTTGCAGTATTTATTATAATATTAAGGTATGTTCGGCGCGCTTTATGATTTAAGTGAGTAACTAGAGGCAACTCACAGATTATAGTGATTATATAAAAAAAAATACATCGCAGCTCGACCAGAAATTTATTCCACGGATAATTATTAATTAGGACATTAATAATTATGACGATAATATAACTTTATATAATCCAAATAACTGATCAATCTGATCATGGGATAAATTTCTAGTCGGGAGAAGATTAACCTCCAAATATTGGAGCTTGGTATACTTAAGAGTACATTTACAGTTCTTAACCCGAATGGAAATTTTAACTTCATTTTCAACCACAATATTCTTTTTATCGCCTAATTTGATACTCTAAAATCTGTATCAATTTCTTTTGATTTTATTTAACCTACTAGCTTTGCCAAGAGATCCTCTTTAGAATCTTGCATTTTGTGTGTCTTCTGTCACTTAGAGGCGCCATGCAGGACTTCAGTTTCTATGTGTATTAAATACACAATGACCCATGAGAATATACAGATGTTAAGAAATTCAGGTCGAAGATAAAGCTAAAATTTCGACTTGGGAAGTATTTGGACAAGTCATCCTGTTTTCTTGCTACAACGGTTTTCGGGATGATTCTTCGACAAGTCGTTGACGAAGGATGGGATTTAACTTCCAATTCCTCGAATTCACGAGCAACAATGATTGCAATTGAGCAACTGAACATTCCATGAGACCGGATGTGTAAATTCATTCAAAACCATTTTCTTATCCAATTTATTTGATTTATACGCCCATTATCGCGTTCGTGGAAACTAGCTGTAAGCGATTGCACGTACGGGTATAATTATACGAACACCGAGATATCTGTTTTTCCCGAGGACGACGTTAATCGTGACGATTAAATGAAAGTGCCGAAGCGGTACACGCTTCTCTCGATTCACAACGACAATTCATCTCGCGTGCGGGCGTGCGTTGCTTCGCCGCGAGATATCAACGCGGAAGCAGAATTCGCGATCTCGCGGATTCGTCGACCTTAATCCCCATCGCGACATCTTCCCTGATCTTTGCTATCGGAAGGAACACAATACAGCCGTGTCGAGAAATTGGCCATTTCCCGATGGCGTGTCGCGGCGGGAACTTGCTCGCGCGGATGTGTCCCTTCGCGTCTCTTTCGCTGCGGAATTCATAATTCAGTGGCGCGAAGTTCGCGCCACCTCAACAGGTGGAACTCCGCGCGAGAGTTACGCGCTTAATTTCGGAGTATGCGTGTGTGTGTGGAAAAGGCAATGCACGAGAGGATCCCGCGTGCTCGGCGCCGCGTTGAGCAATTACGCCGACGGACGAGCCGAAGGTTCTTTCTGCTTTCGCGCAAAGGCCATCGAGAGTATGCCTCCGCTCCTTCTTCACCTTCTCCTCCCTCGTTCACCTTCTCCTACTCCGCGGAACCTGCAGGTCGCAGGTGTACCAGCGAGCCGGCTATCGGCACCGCTTGCTCGCCGCGCCGCTTTCAGTCGCCGTCTGGTCGTCGCCAGGTTGCCCGCGGTTCTACGTCGCTCTTGGTTGATTCCTTATCGACTGGCCACGATTGAGCGCGATAATAAATTCTTGCCTCCGAGCAATTGTAACTGAGTAATATAACATCACATCTTATCGCCTCGTCAATAATCTGTCGATTACGTGGTATCAAGGCTGCACCGATATCACGGGCGATTCACTCGAGTTTTCTGTGCACCTGCGACGTAAGAGGATTTCGTAGACGCGGCGCGCCGAGACGAGAAAGTGCCAGCGTGGTGCATTTCATTGGTGAAGTGATCCCGACCGCATTCCACGTTTTGTAAGTCGGCGTTCGCGGCGCGTGTGGTACGTGTGATTTGAAAGGGGAAAAAAAGGAAATGATCTGTCGTGCCTGAGTGCAAGGCGCAGGTGTGTGTCGGCGGAAAACGGTGAGTAACTTGAGTTACTCCGAAATTTAAAGAATGCCGAGGCGGTGTCCCTGTTGCAAACACAAGCCTTTAGAGGTGCATGTAAATTGACGACACGTATAATACGTGCAAATTTATACGAGATGGCGCACGAAATATCACAGTATTCAATTCAAGGATGCGCGAGCGAAAGGTCATGAGACGACACGAAGATCGTATCGAGCACACGTCGTCGTTCACTAATGACCAAGCTTCCACGTCACATTAATTCCGTCGATTGGTAAATACAATGATTTGTAATGCGCGCCACATGCGCGGCAAACAAATGCCGCGACACATTTCGTCCGTCCGCGTCGTCGCGGATACAAAGTTGTCGTTGTCGCGGCATAAATTAATCGATTCGTTGCTCCCAAATCATCACCGAACACATCGAGCCAGTCGCGTTTTTATCTAACACACATAATTTCTGTTATCTTCGTCAGTGCTCGATTATATAAACCGCGTAGCCTTGTCTGGCTGAAATTACTTTCACCGATACGCGCGCGCATTCTTACGCAACGGGACACGCGACGACAGTGGATGGGTGCTTCCGTTCGCGAACGTGTCATGTGGTTTGTACAATTCAAGACGCCTCATCGTGCGGCCTCTCCACTATCTGTCGGTTATTTTTACGCGATTGCAAATTATCGTTACACACCGCCGGCCTGGCCCAACACGAAGCCTGTTAGCCGAATCACGCGACACGCTTTAAATCAATTTTTATTGCCTTGCCCCGAGCGACAGTCTCGCCGTGGGCCTAGCGCCGTCGCCGGAAGCACAGCCGAGAAAGCAGTCTTTCGCGATCGGTCACGAATGAATCTTAAAGGAGTTGCGGCCCACATAATTCCATCGGACGCACCTTACTCGAGGAGCGAATTATTCAGCCGAGAGTTATGCACCTGCAAGGCTCGCGTCGCCCCGCAATTATGCGGAATAGCGCGAACCGGCTTGATATTTCAGTTACAACGGTTAGCGCGATCGCGTATTCGCGATAAACGCGACGATGACTGACAGCCGTTGCCGTTGGACGTTATCATGTCGGGTGATTGTGATTCGAGGCGGCGATCGCGCGTCTCGCGAGAAGAGATTGTACAAATATACGAATATTTTCAGGCGTTATCACGCGAGTCTGTCGGTACCTTTGTTGCGTGCGCGACAATTTACGATCGCGACTATCATCGCGCCGACTAAATGCAGTAAATGAGAGGAATTTAATTATGAAGCTCTCGCACGGCTCTCGAACGTCCCACACATTTTATGGAGCTAAATTCAATGCATTATACCTTAGTCCCGAGAATACTGCTTAATTAACTCAATTGTTCTTAATCTGAGGACTCCTATTTGGGAGATTTAACCTCTTCGGTGGTGATTCAAAATGACTACGCGATTCTCCTCAGAGCGAGTCTCCTGTTTTCTTTTTAACAAGTGTGTAGATTTCTTCCCTCTTTATCGTAATTTTCTCGAAAAATGGAGAGAATATAAAATATATCTAATTTTCATTTGCATTTGCTTTAATTTAAAGAGGAGAAAATACAACAGTTAAAAGAAATCAAGAGAAATTTTATCACGAAACTTTTTCGGATGCATACCATTTAAAGATTTAATCCATACATATCATGCGACACGAGTTTACCTTACTTTGAGATTAAGCGCGAGCTAAAACCGCATTATAAAAAGCGCCTAAATTAAATGTGCTATCTGATTAAATTCCGATATCGCGATGAACGCTGACGTATCTGTCGATTCTCCTCTTTCTTCCTGACTCTCTCCCTCTTCTTTTTCTTCTCTCGCTCTCGTCTCATCTCATGGAAGAGTTGGCGAGCGGCTTGGAGAATTGGCTCCGGCAAAGCTGAGGAATCCAAGCGGTCTTTACGCGTCTGCCCTTCCCATCTCTACGCAGTTGCTTCCGGTAACGGGGCAGCCGACCACGAAGAAACTGCGCGCGATGCGAGACGCAGCGAAGGAAGCAAGGAAAGAAGGAAGGAAGGAAGGAAGGAAGAGAAGGCAGAGAAGAGAATATCTCAGTAACCGAGCGCACAGCCCCGGCAGTCAGTCACGATGTCGATCATGGCTTATGACTGCGTTACGCCTTCGGAGTTTGCACCGGTGCCAACATTCATGAGCAACGTTCCGAATTATGAATGCCGGCTGCGCTTATATTCTCCCATTCGCGCGCTCATAACGTCCATTATTTATTATTTCTTATTCTCTCTATCTCTCTTTCTCTTTTTTCCTCTCTCCGTCCGCGCACTTCCTGTTTATTCGAAAAATATTAGCCGAGCATGTCGATAGCAGCCGAGCGGCTAATCAGTTGAATTCACTAGCGCGGTTAAAATTGGATATATAAATGTGTTGACGAGAGGCTGTTTAAAGGATATCGGCCAATTCAATTCGCTCGCTAAATATTATTGTCGTTATATATTTACCATTTGGCGCACTAATCGGGCAAATTCGGGCAAAAACGAGTCGCATTTGTACGAGCGACCAGAAAATCGGCGGAAAATCGCCGACGAAACCGACGTGATCCCGGCCGATGAATGACGGCTCTAATGAGCGTGTTCACGGCGAGCTCAAGCGAACCGAGTGACAGTATCGCGGTTCTTTTCGACGGGGCAACATGATTAAGCCGCCTTGTTGTACGGCCACGCAGAGGCAACCGAAGCAGCCTCAGTTGGTCACCCGTTGGCGCGAGCGGTCATTCACTCACCTTGTCCCGTTCGTCAAATACCTTCATACACCGGTCGTCGTCGTCGTCGCCATCGCCGCCGCCGTGAATGTTCGGTAATCTGTGACGATCTGTAACGAATCTACTCGAATGGAATTTAAATTGAAGCACCGCCATCGGCATCGCGATAAACTCTGCGAAAGAGCGAACTATGCGCGGCGTAACGAGATAGATAGCAAGAGAGAGAAAGATCGGGATAGAGAGAAAGATTCTTCTTCGCTCGCGCTTTATTCGCGCCACCACCGCCGAAGTATGCAGTGAGTTATGCGGCGCGTTTCGCGTCCAAAATCAATCAGAGCGATCCGCGATTACTGGTGAACCAGAATGACCGACCGGTATTCCCGAGCTCTCTCTCTCTCTCTCTC